GAAATCGGCGAAGAAAGTTTTGAATGAGGAAAAATTACAAGAATTAAATAGTGAGAGGTGTTTAACGAAAATTGATAGTATGGAAAAGGAAAAGGTAGAAACAGAAAAAGAACAAAAATGGACTACTGTAAATAGAAAGAAAAAACGATTTTCAAACATTGAAGTAAAAAAGGGTGGAAACACTAGTACAATTAAGATTCAAGGAACGGAAAGGAAAAAATATTTACATGTATGGCGATTGCAAAAGGAAACAACAGTAGAAAGCATAGAAAAATATGTTAAGAAAATTTATAGAGAAGAAGTACCAGTTAAGGTGGAAAAAATAAAACACAAGACAGAAAGGGATTATGCCTCCTTTATTATAGGAGTCCCGGATAGCAAATATAATAAATTGTGTCAGCCAGAAAACTGGGCAATAAATATAGAATTTTCAGAGTGGGCGTGATTTCGTAGAACAACCATCAAACCAAAAAACTCTTAATAAATCCGTGTATATAATGTATCAAAATGTGCGTGGGCTCCGAACAAAGTTAAGGGAATTTTACACCAATATTTCGACAGCAACTGCAGACTTGTTTGCAATCACGGAAACAGGTTGCAATGAACCAATTCACGACGCAGAATTAATACCACCTGGATACACCATTATACGATGTGACCGAACGGACGGACGTAAACAAGGCGGCGCGTGTCTCGTGGCCACACCGCGTTATCAGCTGCGACGAGTATTGCTACCGAGTAATGTGAACGTCGATGAACATGTGTTTGAACTGATTTGTGCTACGGTACACAGACGTAATAGATATTTATTCTTGCTTTGTGTTGTATATATTCCACCTTGTAGCAGTGATAATGAATATTTCTTGTTATTTAACGTTATTGAACAACCATATGATAAGTACAGTGAATTATTAGTTTTAGGGGACTTTTAGATCTAGTGTTGAGTACATTGGCAGAGGAACGCGGTGTGAGTGTGCGCGTGGCGGAGATGCCGCTCGTGCCTGTGGACGCGTACCACCCGCCGCTCGAGATCTCGGCAAGTACAAATACGCGCCTGTGCCGTCATTCCGACTCAGCAGGTTCAGCTGCACCAGAAATTAATACATTCGCGGGTTGGGACTTTAATAAGGCCGACTTTTTAACATTGTATTCCTTAATTGCGGCTGTAGATTGGACTCCTTTATATGAGTTAGACTTAGAAATGAGCTTAGAATTTTTTTTATAAAATTATGAATTCTGCTATAGATGACTGTGTTCCGAAAAAAAAGCGAAGTCGTGTAAACTCCAGGTACATTTACCCGGAGTGGTACACTGTTGAAATAATTCGCGACATAAGATTGAGCCTTTTCTGCATAAACGGTACAAGGCCAGTAGATCGAAAACTGATCACGAGGCGTTTGCTCAGTGTAGGACCAAAGTAAAGAAAATGATAGTACTCGCACAGGAACAGTATCAACAACGTGTTCAAAATCAAATGTTGAAAAATCCAAAATCTTTTTGGAATTTTATTAAATCTAAAAGACGTAAAAGAAGTCCACATTTGATTCTGAAAGACGGGGAAGCGTTGTCTGATTAACAGTGTGTCGAGGAGTTCGCGAAGTATTTTTATTCTGTTTATAGTTCAGAGCGGCCGGAGTTGGATGTGGGCTCTGCTATAATAGGAGCAGGTAACGGAAACGGAGCAGCACGGGTGCACTTTGACCAATTACAGTTGGCAGACGTATGTAGTGCGCTTCAAGAACTCAAGCCCGAACGGTCTGCAGGACCTGACGGCATTCCGCCTTACATCTTTAAGGATTGTCGGTCGGTACTAGCTAAGCCACTACTGCATATATATAACAAATCCCTTACGGCTGCGGTGTTTACAGGGAGGTGGAAAGTAACCCGCGTTGTTCCGGTTCCAAAGGGAGGTTCAGCAGTCAGTGGATGGGTACAGGCCTATTGCAGTGTTGTTTACGCCGGCAAAAGTATTCGAAGCCGCTATTTATAAGATAATATTCCATCAGGTGAGCGCACAACTCTCAGACGCACAACACGGGTTTCGGCCAGGAAGGAGTACAACCAGTAACCTTCTCTGTCAGATGGCACATCTGGCACCGAGTGGAGACAAAGGGGTGCAAACGGATGCGGCATTTTTTGACTTCAAAAAAGCATTTGATTTGGTAGATCATAACGTATTACTTAAAAAGCTAGCAGGTGTGGGTTTTACCCCACATTTACTGCACTTTTTTGCTAGTCATATGTCTGATAGGCAGCAATATGTAGAATATGCGGGACATAAGTCAGATCCATATTTCACATGGTCCGGGGTAAATCAGGGCAGTAACCTTGGCCCTTTGGAGTTTTTGCTGATGATAAACGACCTACCAGAAGTGGTGAAGGACGCTAAGTGTTTATTGTTTGCTGACGACCTCAAATTGTCTCCTGCGGTAAAAAATGGGATGACTGTGCCAGACTACAAAGGGACAGACAGGGTTGTGAGTTGGAGCAAAGACAATCTTTTGCAATTTAACAGCTCTAAGTGTGTGTTAATTACTTTCTCTCGCGCACACACTCCTATTTTACATAATTATCACATTGACGGGCTGCTGATGACGAGGGTCAGAGAAGTTAAGGATTTAGGAGTAACTTTTAATACAAAGCTTACTTTCTATGATCACATCATGAGCATCTGTAAAAAAAGCTTATAGAAATCTAGGATTTATGCTTCGTACAGTGAGAGGATTCACAAACATAAAAGCGATTATCGCCTTATATAATGCATTGGTAAGGAGTCAACTTGAATGTAATGCTGTCATCTGGGCTCCGCATGAAATTAAGTATAGTCTCGTGCTAGAGCGAGTACAAAATAAATTCATTAGATATTTATATATGCGTTATTATGGTGTCTACCCAATTTACCCTTTAATGTATCCAACTTTATTTATATTAGGTATGGTAGGATATAATGAACTGAGGGTTAGGAGGGAACTCGCGCTCACCTCGTATATTTTTAAAATACTGCGAGGAAGATTGTTTAATGCTGAAATATTAGGGCAGCTTAATCTATGTGTTCCTGAGAGGTATGTGTGGCGCCGACGGCAGCCGCGACTGTTGGTGGAGCCGCGAGGTCGCACCAACCTCCTGAGTGAGGCACCTCTGACGCGCGCACTCCGCACGCTCAACGTAATAGCTTGTGAGACGGACCTATTTATTTTGTTGTACTCTGAGTGAATTCTCAAAGACAGCATTGTTTGTAATTTGTTACAAAAATTAAATCTAACACTTAAATCTACACAAATCAGTTAGACAGCTACACTATCGCATTAGGTAATCCTGTAATGATAGTTGTAAGTTTCAGAAATAAGTAAATAAATAAAAAAATAATAGAAGTTTCAGTCAATACCCTAGATTGAGAAAGAAAATCGCACAACACAAAATGTAAAATTGCTCTTCATACCTTAAGAAAAAATAAACATTATTTGTAATTTTATATTATTAAAATAAAAAATTCATCATCATCGACGCTTTCCAAAATGCGAATGAGTTCTGAGAAATCGTTCATGTTGCACTGCATTACTTTTTCCGCTATTCGTTTATGACGTCATCAGGGTGTCGTCTATCCTTGACCACGGCGCCCCCTTATTATTCTATGCCCCTTAACTGATAATCGATGACGCGCTAAGGATGCGCCAGAGTTGAGATATTAGATTTATTATGCGAAGTTGATTTGATGAAATCTTCTTTTATTTATGTAGGTGATGATAGTTTTATGTTTCTTAGATTTTGTTTTATTCAAATATCAATAATAATTTAAAAAATAACACGTTTGCGTTTAATTTTGAATAGTTTTCAATAAATCTATGCCTAACGCATTATAACACTAGCGGTCAAACTAGACGACTTTGGCGTGCTGGACAAGGTATTTATTTGCCTAGATAAAAATCCATTTTTTTTAGTTCGATGTTTCTTAGTACTTGTGGCTCTAGGAGACTTGTTTTTTATACTCACATGTTGCTGGGTTATTCTTTTTTGAGGAGTATAGAATTAAAATACCGGATTTTCCAATATCTATATTTCATATTTTTGTGGGCCTGGTTTTTTGTCAATTACAGACGTCGTTGGCGCTCAGAGCTCGCAGGTGCTGGTCAAGTAGGTATAGGCGACTTTGGGCTCAAAAGGTTAAATTCCATTTCCCGATGTTGTTTCGACTCGTAATTGTTGCACAATTTGCCATTTTTTAAATAATGCATGCAGCGACGCTTGACACGAAAATTGGAAACGATTTTGTTGACATTTATACATGTGAATTGACGTGTTAGTGACATGTTAGTGGCTAGACGGCCTCCGCCCCCTCCACCGTTCTATTATATATGTATTATAGTATTCTATGGGTACAACCATCCCTTATATGCTGGACATAAAATACTCAACTGGCGTTATTGCCATCATCAAGCTGCCTGCTAAGCATGGCCATTACAGCAAAACATCTCCACACTGTTTGTGGCTCATGTTCAGCAATGGCCTTTTACTGAGCACCAGACTGTGTCACTAGCTATCCCATTGGTATTTTGTCTCAATGCTTTTAATCCCCCATTTCTGCATGTGATAACTTGACAGATAAAGTTCGTGAGCTTATTATTATGCCGAGTGTAAAACTCAGTACTATCCAAAATGTTTTCTTGATTATTACGTTACAAATATGTCACAGCAGAAAGAATCAACAACATGAACGCGTAAAAAAAGGAAAAAAAAGATGTAATATTTTTTGGAAATTGAATATAAAATTATTAGGTTTTAAAAATTCTATTACTTATCACTATTAATTGTTATGAATTATACTACTTTATGAGCCTCATTAGCTTGCACTTAGCCGTTTTTGATAACAGTTATTAAGTAAATTACTTTTTTTTGGTAAAATATCAATTTAATAATTAGAATAAAAACAAATAAAAATCACTATGTTTTATTTAGAATTACACTTAATATCTTAACCACTACATCACTAGCCCATGTTAGCTTTAATTTTCTGTATGCTGTGTTTGAAAAAAGATAACATCATCTGCTATAACAGTAGATGCAGATCTTACTTGTCCATCATCTAATTTTACTTCACCATATGATAATTTTCCAGTAACATACACCCTTTGACCTTTCTTCAGATACTTGTACACAGTATCTCTTAAACCTGGCTTAAAAATACTGATTCTGTGCCAATCAGTCCTTTGTAGTATATCACCAGATTCATATTTATAACTAAAATGTGTAGCAAGCGGAAAATTTATTACTGGATGCTCTTCTGTGCCTCTTTTTTGTGGATCAGCTCCAACTCTCCCCAGTAATGTAACTTGATTGATAGCTAAAAATAAGTATGAACAGGTAGTATTTTAAGTGCTGTTATAATATTATCCTGTAATTTATTTAAATCATAAATACATTTTTTGCTATTAGGATCGTTTTCAGATGTTAGCTCTTATAGTCCAGGATCCATCGCCCATTTTTGCACGTGATTACTATCAAGCTAATTTTCCGTGAGTAGCTTTATTTTGATGAGACGCCCAATAATTTCCTGTACGAAACTCTCGATTGTGGTAGCTAACAGAAGTAGCAAGGATAAAATATGTTGATTTGATGATTCTCAAATATTTATTACTAACTGAATTTTTTTTTTGTTAAATCTCAGATAATTATCTAAATTATTCGAACAAATATTTGTCCTACAAAATCTATGGTTTGATCAAAGAGTCCCCTCTATCCAATATGTATCGATAACGAGGTCATCATAAATGATTACTAACCAGCAGATTTTTTTTACTTAGTTAATATTTATATAATTTAACAGACATATTGTCCTACAAATTGCGTGGTACGTTATCCCGGTCTTACGCTATGAAAAAAATGGACTTGTGGTATTAACAACTTCTGAGACCTTTATGAGTTTAGGTACATTCAACTAATTGTAAATAATTTTATAGTTCTTATAAAAACAGAAAGATTCCATCTTGATTGTCTAGGGCGAAATATAGAGTCACTGAATTGATTCAGTACTATAAATAAATTTAAAAATCGATAGTTTTGGCAAAAGAAATCAATTTTTCGATTAATTGATCTCAAACCGCCATGCTTAATACCAATAAGGCCCTCCTTTAGATCAGTACACTATAAACGGTGCTGCTGTTTCCTTAATATTGTGTTTTAAATTATGGAAACATCAGAAAGATTTGCCAACTTCCCATAGATTGTGGTATGGTATAACCCAATCACATATGGGAAAAAACATTATAGGTGTCAAACTTCGATCAACTATACCAACTAGATGTCGGGTCGGCGCAAGAAATCCGTCTCAGTTAATAAAAGCGCACATGAGACGTGAGTTCTTATTTTTGTGACTAATGATCGTAAGATTTGTGACTTTATTACCAGATGCGATGGTTGTAATTAGGTTGAACTTAAAACTATTTTAATTTTTTGTCTCATTTCTTTAGTAAACAGATGTAGCTGTTTAAATTTATATTCACCGTTATCTAGTTGGTATTGTTGATCGAAGGTGTCAAGGTGCTACCTATGACAATTGCAAATCTACAACAGGAAAGGCTCATATCCGGCAGTTCACTTTTACTGCAAAATGAAGTATATTATGAAAAGTTAAAACATAATTTAAGGTTTTCTATAAGCATCTTTAATGCTGTAGTAGCAGTCTGTAAGAATCCACTACTCTATATCATCCTGTAGGCAATGTAACAGGTGACAAAAGGCAACTGAGGCAGGAGATAGCCAGCTGCATCTTCCTGATAACTCAGAATAATAAAAAGTGTTATTACTGACCCACTTGAATGTGGCTACTATGGCAAATATCACCCTATGTATCAATTTATGTTCATGTATTGTTAACCTATGTTCAACATAGAACTTTTGATAGGCATTGACATAATGAATAAGCATTTTTTTCAGAAAGGTTATCACTATGAAGAGGTACCCATGCTCAAGTACCAGAAGATGGATTCTACGGCTAACCGAATACACAACACAATAATTTTACTAGGCATTTGACAGTCCTATTAGCAACACATGGCATTACAAATATTAAGTACTTAGTAAAATATAATCATAATATTGCAATTAAATTAATTAAACTAAAGGAAAAATTCTAAACTTAAAACAAAAAATATTAGACCGACAAAATAATACTAACAAGATATATGTATAAAGTTATAAAAAAGTTCTTTAAATCGTAATACTTACTCTTTTCAGTTTTTTGAGTGTCAAAACTTACAAGGGTTGTGTGTATTTGTTTACACTTAGATAAGCATTGAATTGCCCTTACCTGAAAAAACATAGTTTTATCAAAATTTATTCTTAATAACTTGTGTTTTAAAAAAAGGAAATGTCTTATCATATCATAAGTATTTTTCTTATTTATATGATACATTTATATTTATTTAGCCGTTATATTATAATTAAAAATTTAATGTATTCAAAATATTTTTATAAACTATAAACAATATAATAAAATAAAGTTTACATGCCAGGTATATTATAATGATAAATAATATAATATTGCTTTTAAATTTTAAAAATTATTGGAGAATAAGTATTTTTTTATTATACTATGGTTAGCAACCGCCTAAAAAAATAGCAGTGAAAACTAAATCAAAATAAGCAGTTATATTTACGTGATTTTATTAGATATTAGTAACTCTTAACCGCTAAACTTTCATATTTTAAGGTTATAATGTATTTTATAAAACTTACTTACCCTTGTCAAGGAAAACATTTTAAAATTTAATATAATTACGATACTGTAGGATGACTAAAATAAAATCTTATAAAATCGCAGGAAATACAATATGCATCTAATAATTAAAAAATAGAATAATACCAATTACCGCTACATTTACATTGCTTCCATATTTGTTTATCTACAACATAGATAAATAAATATGTAGCAAGCTAATCTACAATTTTTTCTTTTTTGTGAATGTGAAAGTGAAACGACCAGTGTGACCATCTTTCAAATACAGATCGTAGTGATAGATAATATACAATATAGGGCAATACCGGCAATACAGATCCTGCCTTACTTTGGTGGTTAAAAACAAGCCAAAACCTGCCACAGTCAAGTCAAATATGTTTATTAAACTAAAATTAAACATTGCAGTTACCACCATATTATTTTTTTTTATAATCTTTACATGATGACATGAATTTATCCATTCGATTTAACATAATATCTTTCGTTGCTTTGAATGCAACATAATCGCAATGCTCACCAATGCCTTGTTCAACGTGCAAGAAAAGATAGACGCTACATGTGTGTTTATAAATCTGCTTCTTGTCTTCGTCTTCATTAAAAATTTATTTGAGAGAATATTTTTTCGCATGCAGAGTTGGACATTGCTAAGCACAGCAGTCCCTTTGTGAAATTTGCAATACAAACATATTTTGAGTATCTCTTCTATGACTATGACTGATTGAAATATTAACCATAAACTAGTGTTTATCAATACTTGATTTAAGGTTATCAATTTTACGTACAAACTTATAAAGTTGTTTCCTGAATGTGATACAAACATAATACAAGAAGTACAGGGAAAATCCCCCACATGGTGGTGAAGTATCTATGGCTGCCATTTTAGGCGAAATTTATTTTTAAATTTATAGTCAACCAAATCTAAGAAATACCTTTTGACGTTTCACATTAATCATTCCGCAATAACTTTGCACAAGCGTACTCACAGGATTTAAAATAACCTTTTACGTAAATCCGAAGAATTATGAGGTTATCTATATTTCACTACAGTGTGTATAGTTTTTTATGACTAATTTAAATTTGAATTTTTCAAATAAAGCAAAATGTGAAAAAATAACCAGCATTAACTTTTTTAATTTGACGTCGTTTCAATGACATGTCGCTATGTATATTACCGTAGTGTTTGGATGATTAAAATTCATTGTTATGCGAATAATCGGAAAAATAATTAAATAATCGGTAAAAATATTCCAATAATCGAATCATTAATTTCTTTAATGTATTATTTCTTTAATTTCATTCTTATTTTCAAAATTCCTTAAATTACATGAATCATGAATAAAACCAGTTTTTTTTTTCACTTTGTCACAGTAATTTTTGTAGGCAAAAAAGTCATATACAAGGCCGTGCTAAAATAACCAATACATAATTTCAGTATTCCGCCATTTCGGTACCAGTTAATCGACTCAACAGAATCAGTAATTAATTTTTGAGGCGATGTATACGCAATATTAATGAATTTATGGATGATAATAAGCCCTGGGAAGGGTGATCGCTACCAAGCTATTTCTAATTTGTTTGTGTTGTTAATTGTAACACGCATGATTGTAAGCTCTTATTTTTTTAAACTGGTCCCGTTGGGTTTCTTGCTGGTTCTTCCCAGGACAGAGGTATTTTTGCAAACCAGTGGTAAATGACAAAAAGGTCTTTCAATAAGTGTTATTCATGTATATTGCATAAAAAAGTTTCTGTTTCTGTTTCGAGAGCTTACTGTGCATAATTTTGAGATTTTGTGTTTGTCTTCTTATTTTGTAACGGATGACGGCTTTAAATTTTTGGACTGTTTCTTTTATAATAACTTTTTGTACGTGGTAGAGCCACGCTACATCTATATTATAGTTGTAGCACTAATGGGTTGGCTCAACCAGGGCAGAACCACTCTCTCACAGAATACCAGCGTAAAATAGCAGCGTAATGCTAATGTGTTTTATATGGTAAGTGTAGAGAACCGTAGACCCTTTTTACTGGAATCGAGGCATTACGTCTTAGTCCTCAGGAGTGACAACGCATTTGCATTTTGATTCTTAATTGAGGATAAATGTGTATGTATATGAGCCATAGCATCCACTTACCATCAGGTGGACTGTGTGCTCGTTTGTCACCCAATGCTATAAAAAATATTCGTTAAAGCATGTGCCCATGTCACAAAGGGTGATTGGGCAAAAGTGGTAGAAAAAACAAAAAATTGACTATGGATAACTTTGAAAGAGACATTAATTTTGACTGCATTATCGAGCATTAAATAATAATAATTAATATAAACAACGACATCCCTACAAGTTGTACTGAAAGTGATTGAATAAATTTATTTTTAATCTAGTTTCAATCTTCAATTTATAACTGTGCCTCTAGAAATAAGCAGTAACAACAAATACGAAGAAACTGATAAATCTTGTGTTTTAAATTATCCGTTTTTAACTTATTCTGGTATTATTAAAACCAAACTGTAAATGATTACCAACTCTAAATAATCGATATCGATTTTTTTAAGAATCAAATATTTTACGTTCCCATTTTTTGGTTGGCATGCTTGACTTGATAAGTCTGACAGCTGTTAAAAGTATTTCTTAGATTTGGTTGACTATACGTTTGAAAACGTCAACCGATCATGCCAAAGGCTAAAATAAGTAGCAAATCCTGCCAAAATGACAGGAACTGCCACATATGGTCACACTGGAAACAACTAAACATATACAGACTAACTACTGGGTTCTATTTTTTATTAAGGTTTTTGGCTTGGATGTTTGTTCATTTCATTCAGGATCCTTATTGGTATAATTTTTTTTCTTCACAATACTCTGATGCGTGACATTGCAAAGTTTTTGGGAGATTTGATGAAATTTAACGTAGCAGAAAGTCGATGACGACGAAGTTCATAAGACACCTTAGCGATTAAATTAACTCGAGGTTTATATCAACATAGAAGCACTTGTTTCATCGTCTTCCCTAATAGTTCACATGCGCATTTTACGTATCAAAATTCACTTCAAAACATTATCTAAACAATAACATAGGGGCAGCAATCCGTCAAAGGTCAAGTTCCCGCCAAAACTCCTAGTGGATTCTATTCTCCCCAATGAGGGTATCCACGACTTTTTCTGCCACCAGAGCTGCGCCACTTAAAAATGAGGTTAAATATTTGACAGACTTCATAGCGGCGAAGTTCATTTATACAAAAAATTTAATAGGTTAAATGGTTAAATATTTATTTCTGTACTATTAGTTAAACAGAATACTTTTACTTATGGAGTAAAGAGGTAAAGAGTACAGTCTCAGTATAAAAAAGTGTCTCTAGGAAAGCGCTAAATAAGGGTGGTGCCACTGTAGCTACAGTCTAAATTTTAAAGAATGTTTTATAATTTTTTATTGCATAGACTTGCACCATAATTCTTTTTACAATAATCATTTTATTATTTTCAAAATTTTTATTTTCAAAATCACTCTCAATGTATTTTACGGCGATTTATATATACCCTGTAGCTATTCGAGAGCTCTTATGGAGAGTTTTTGAATTGTTATTTACAGCCTCAGATAAAGTAAAAAAAGGTAGATACAGCGCGGCGTTTGTTATTGGTGAAGCCAAAAAACCCCGCTCCCTTATGTAAGCACACGCGTTCATGCACACACACATGCATCAAACTACGCTCATTTTCGCTCAGTACAGTACTTCCCGGGCGTCGTGCAGTTAATTTGCCTACAAAATGCCGTCCTGTGTAGTTAAATGGTGCAAAAACAATACTAAAGTGAACAAAAAGTCTGAAGCAATAACGTTTCACACGTAAACACTCATTTAACTATATTTTAATTTGTTATTCCAACACAATTTTGAAGGTTATCTGAAGCACGAATGTCAATGTTTCGAGATTACGTAACGAGAGAATGTTGCCAGTATTTCTTATTTCTAATGGTCCAAGAATTGGGTAATTAATTTTAGGCAAAGTTATAAAAATATATGGAGTCAGCACATTTTTTTTAATTAGTTTTTATTATGTTACATCAAATTGAACTTAAGGTAAACATTAAATTTTTTAAGTTGCTGATGTTTCTGTTTAAATTATTGAGTACTTAGAAACTACTTTACTCTCAAAAAATATTTATGATTTTAGGCTACTAACGAATATTTTAATAAGACATGAATTTTTCTACGTGGTAGAGCCATGCCGCAGTTAAACTATTAGTAGTATAGTTACACGAATGAGTCGGCTCGATCGGAGAAGGACCACGCTCACACAGAATACCAGCTTAAAATAGTAGTTTAATGCTGCTGTTTCGTATGGCGACTGTAGAGAACCGGATACCCTTTTTACTGGAAATGAGGGATTCCATCTTAGTCCTCACGGTTGACAACGCATCTGCATTTTGATTCGTAAACGAGGATATACGTATATGTCTATTGGCCACAGCAACCACTTATCATCAGGTGAACTGTATGCTCATTTGTCAACCTATCTTATAAAAAAATTAAGGGTAGCCGCTGATATGAACCATGATAGCTGGGCTGAAATGAACCAAAATGGCAGCCATCCTCTTGACTTGACAGTGGTTGAGCCACGCAGCGGCTATTGATGTCACATGGATGGGCCAGATTGAACCAGGGGGGTACCACGACCTCACAGAATACCTGCGTGAAGTAGAGGTTTACCTCTGCGTTTACCGCTTGGGATGGAGGCCCATTTCCTCCTCCCCCTTAACATCGTAGCGGAATCAAATAAATACTACCCCAAGAGGGTACCCTAAATCCTGGCGACGGAGAATCCCTCGCTGTGCATCCACAATCAAGCTACTTTACTCTTCCTGAGCGTGGATGCTTAGGCTGCTCAACGTATTCTGGGGGAGGGGGGTTTGGGAATTCTGCTCGCGACTAAAACTGCTAGGGCACAGAATAAATAATAGTACTACGTACAGAAGTTGCACTCCTTTGATGTTGACAGCTTGCCGATGTTTAATAGCCTACATAATTATTA